TTCTTCAGATTAAATTGGTCAAATTTCTGTTCTTTTATACATTTCCATGCCACAGCTACATGTGATATCTAGACTGGCTCAGCAGGGAGTGCTGAGTTTGGCTCTGGACTTGCTTACAACACGAAGCCAAATTATGCTTCAGGTTATCTTGAAAGCTCGAGCAGCAGAGCCCGAAGCACTGATGTTGTTGTTCTCCTTCTGCTCTGAGCTTTGAAATCTCCTGATATCTGAAGCAGCCGTGCTATTGTCCTAATTAGTGAATTTAACAATGGGAACTTCTCTCAAGAGCACAGAGTGTGATTCTGTGAGTGCAAGGCTTTGCAATATGTGAGATTTTACTTCCAGGATTGAGATTTACCCATTAAAAATGGGGACATATCCATGTTTTGAATTAGAGGTGGGCATTATGTACATTTCTGATGATTGCTGTCACAAAAAAAACCGGTGTATTCCTTTAGTATTGACAAATTGTTCTGGTATTCAGGTGTGTATCATGGGAACCCTCATGAGGATTACTCATTCTAAAGTAATGTAGTGTATTCTTGGATGATGGTTGTGATTGTTCATTCCAGCAATCATTCTCTGTTCCTTTATTTGCTTTTCCCTCACACTTGGCTGGCATTCCAAGAATTTAACAATGGGAACATCTCTCAAGAGCACAGAGTGTGATTCTATGAGTGCAAGGCTTTGCAATATATGAGATTTTACTTGCAGGATTGATATTTACCCACTAAAAGTGGGGACATATCCGTGTTTTGAATTAGGGGTGGGCACTGTGTACATTTCTGATGATTGCTGTCACAAAAAACTGATATATTCCTTTAGTATTGACAAATAGTTCTGGTATTCAGGTGTGTATCATGAGAACCATAACGAGGATTACTCACTTTAAAATCATTTAGTGTATTCTTGGATGATGGTTGTGATCGTTCATTCCAGCAATCACTCTCTGTTCCTTTATTTGCTTTTCCCTCACACTTGGCAGGCATTCCACTCATGTTTGGAGGTCCAAGAACACACTTCTTTCACCCTCAAGTTCTGTGGTTATCTTCTAATCTGTCCTTAAACAGATCTGATCAAAAGCTCTGCATAAATCCTTGTGGTAAATTCTAACATGTTCTCTTCATTTGCTCACATCCTTCATTTACTTCTCAAGAAGAAAATTATGAAAATAAGTGAAATTATGAAAGAGGGCGAGTTTGAAGACCTTGAGAAAGGAAGACAGGGATGTGGGAATTGTCATCGGAGCGATCCCTGGTGGTTTAATCACCAATTTCCATTCCAGTGGCGCAGAGTGCTGATGACTGAATTCCTTGGTTGCAAACCAAGTTGGTTGAGTTTAATCTGAGAATTATTTCACAAGGAATCGTGCTCAGGTAACAAGTGTGATGGGGTGCTCAGAGCACCAGTGTGTTTATGGAGTGGAAATTGGTGACAATGACCACAAATAAGTTCCAAAACTGACGAGCAGAGGCTCCTGCACCAAGTCAGTCCCTTCCGATTCTCCATACCCGATTTGCTCTTTTTTTAATATGATTATAAAACTGCTGGGGAAAGAGTAATTAACGACAAGTAATTACTCTAACCATTTTACCACTCTAAGCGGGGACAGAATTTTCCCTACTATTTTCAAAAGATCTGATTTACCCCGCAAATGGTGAAATTCTGTGCAGAGGCAGAGTTGTGGTGGTTGAATGTTGTTCCCGAACAGCAGGAAAGGAGAAAACAGGTGCTAAACAGCAACAATTAGCATATGCATACCAAGTGATGAGGTGTTAAACACAGCCTCATGCAGAGGTGTCAAAACCCCGGCCAAGGGATCTGCTAGAGCCTGTTATGTGAAATAATACAGATGATAAAAACCACAATGGAGCATAAAGGGCCTCAAACACCAAATGTACTGGTCACAATCACAGCCACTCGTTCAGCTGGACATGTGTTTTCAGGAGATTTGCAGCGTGTGTGCATTCAGAACCAATGCTTTTCTCCTGAAATGAAAAATGAGTGGTAAATTATCAGATAATTTTGTAATTATTTCAAAACAAATGATTGCTTCATTTCTGCTGTGCCAGTGTAGCCTTAAAATTCGATGGCATATTTTCTTTTGTCACTTCTATCATTTACTTTGTGTTTCTTTTTTTCCCTTTGCTTGCAGTGAAAGCTGGAATGTAAGATTTAGTGTGCTTAGTTTAAATTGTTGTCATGGTCTGCTGTTTTTCCCACTCTGAAATTATTGGGTTCTATTAGAGACTGATCTTCTCTTTCATTTTTATGCCATATATTCTTTATGATCATTTAATGAATGCACTTAACAGCAGTACATGGGAATCTGATAGTCATGCATCTTTCATGATTTTTTCCTTCAACTTTTGCTCTGCATTTCATGCCCCAGGCATGGCTTGAACTTTTTTTCCTTCCTATTATCAATATAACCTTCATTGTCTCAGTTTTCACGTTGTTGTCTTCAGGGAAACTGAAGGATACAGTCCCCAATGGAAGAGCTTGCTACTTCTGACTGCTAGTATTTATTCTTTGGAATATCCAAGTATTTTCAATTACAATTGAGTAAAAAAGTGTTATTAAAATAAGATACTGCTTTCATTTTTTGCCTTTCTTCCTTTCCCTCCTTTTTGTTTTTTTTGTTTTTTTTTTTTTTGGTAGTTTTATGAAAAGTGGAAGAGTTGGGAACTGCCAGAAGGTGACTCTGAGTGTTATTATGAGAACTGTTCTCACAACCAGACACTGCATTAAACCCTTCTTCTTCCCAACCCTTCACTTGACAGTAGCCCCTTGCATGAAAGCCAATCACTCTTAGTCACCCAATTTTTTATTAGTTATAAAAACAAATGTTCATAAAAAACATGGAATTAATTTGTGAGTCTTGCTTGAAAACTAATGAAATGTCTAAATGTGAAGACCACTCTCTAAAATGGCCTCATCCCGTCTGATCTTGCCTGACCTTGCTGTGTGAAGCCCAAGCAGATTCTGGTGATAATCTCTCTTTTTTTTCTGTTTTTTTTTTTCTGTGTTTTTTTCTGCCAGTTTGGCCTCTCAGCATTTTGAAGATGTTCCCAAAGTTGGGTAGCACAAGGTAGGCTGAGGAATGGAGGATTCCCTGTGAGAACTGTGGGATTCAAGCCAGCATTTTACTTTAGATCATCTATGAATCAAATGCATTATCCAGCACCGCCAGGTGCACTCTAATCTCGTGATAAAATATTGCAGTTAGGACTGTAGTAAATGAGAGTATAATAAAGTTTAGAAGTAGGAATGCTACACTGCTCAGCATAGTTCTTCTCCACCCTGAATGGCAAGCAAATATTCTTTATTATCTTCTTTATTTTCATTATATTTTGTGTGTTTCAGTCAGCTCATTGCAGAGATTCTGGTGGTGCTGGTCCCACCTGTTTCTCACTGATTTTACAGTGACTGAGGCAATGAAACCTCTGTTATTTTTCACTGATTATTCCCAGTAGGCAGAACCAGAAACTTTTAAGCATCACCTTGTGCCCATTTGCCCAGCCACAGCAAGAAGGGATTTTTCAGATGCAGCTCTTTGGATCTTGCCACCCTTGAGGCTCACGGTGAGTCAGCTTAACCTGCACGGAAAGGTGGAATTTTATTGGACTTTACCCTGAGCTACAGCCTTAATACAAAACTCATCCCTTAGAAAAAGGGATCTGTATTTACAGGGCAGGATGTGAACTGGTATATATGCAGACTTTTTTTCTTCTTCATTTTTTCAGTCTTTTTAAGATTTTTGCATTTGATGATGAATAGCCCCATTCATTGCCAGAAGTTTGCCGTGTTCCTGGCTGATTTTCCAGGTGCTGAAAATTTCAGAACTGAAAGAGTATCAGGTTACAGACCCTTTGTATAAATCAATTCTTATAAAATTGTGTCAGAAATCTACTTTCCTGTAGATTCAAAATTAATTAACACCTTCCAATTAATTAGATTTCTGAAAATGTGGTGAGGTGGGCAAATTGTATTATCAATTGTATTATGTGGGCTGCACTGTATTATCTGAAGGCTAAGTGATTTAACTGTTAAGTGTCACGTGAAAGAGAAAACTGAAAAGAAGAAAAAGCAGGAAAGTTATATGCTACTTTTCTACAGTAGCTTATTTTTTATTAGTTGATTCTTGCTTCTTATGGTCCCTAAAGCATTACAGTGGTTAGTATTTCAAAAAGTAGACAATAATTTTATTCTGTGCCATGTTCCTCTTTTTTGTTGGCATTGTTGGTAAATAATGTTGACACAGATCAGATTGAGCACATTTCCAACACGGCATTGAAACCTTCCTTTGAGATGGGGCTGGAATTTTGGGAAGGGAATGAACACCAGATGGTGTTCATTAGTGTCCACTCAGATAATAGCAGAGCCACTCACTGCCAGTAGGCCTTGGGACATTAAATAATAAATCTTCCTTGTTACTGTGTAATTAACTGTTAAGATGTTAACTGAGGTCTCGTTGGATGCTTTACATGAGATTTAGAATAAGGGTAATGGAGTTTGGATGTTTTCCCCCAGTTTCTGCATGAAATCTTGACTAGTGGATGGCTGAAGAGTTGAGGCATCTTACAGAGGGTGGAGAGGATTAAATAAATTAATTACCCTGCACTGCGCCATTGGTGTTTTGGGATAATTTCCCTGCAGTTGGGATGGCCTTAAACCCTCATGTGAGGGAATTTCTCAGCAAGGGCTTCCTCAGCACAGCTTCTGTATCACTGCAAGGTTTAATATCTCATTTTTCCAATAATAGGTCACTTTGTTCCCACACATGTTAACCACCAAGTTCATTTTCTCCTCTCTGGTTGCGTTAGAGACGCGAGGCAAACTTCCCAACAAATGGAACTGACTAATGTTCAAAATCTGGTGTGAGGGAGTTGAATTTTCATAGCTTAATTAGTGTCAGCAGGTTGCCAATTAATTAATGGAATTCTTTTGTGCTATCTCCAGCTGTATTTAATTAGACTGGTTAGAGAGGAGAGAAGGCTACTGTATGAATTCAGCGAGGTGATGAAGCTTCCTTCGGAAATTGTGCTTTACACCTTGTTAAAGGCGTTTGGTTTCCTTTCAAATTCTAAATTCTTCACATTCTGCAAATGAGGACACTGTGTTCTGTCAGCAAGTAAGTGGCTGGTGAGGTTATTAGCTTTATGATATGACATGGAAGCATTTCTGGATTGCTGTGTTTTAGACAAACTGTTGAAGTTCACAAGGAAAAAAAACACCAAAAAACCAGTGTGATTAATTAAAAATGTATTTGTTAAGATCCAAGCTAGATGCTGGTATAATCCAAACTAAAGACATGACATTTTAGAAGAGGTCTGTATTAAATTACAGCAAGGAAGACCAGATCTTTCTTCTTTTTTTGTTACTTTAAAATACTTTAAAAAATATAATCTAAAAGTAACAGGCTATGAGTTAAAGTGCTGCACAAGTCAAAAGTTATTAGAAACATCAGAATATCTATATTGTTGGATTTATACTAACAGAATGTGAATCTTAGGATAAAATGAACTTTTAGTATCTTTCCATAGTTCATAGTTGGCTTTCCAGTTACTCCCAGCATACCCATATTAAATGTACTGGTTACTGTCAACTTTGTTTAACCTGGAAAATATATTAAAAAAAAAAACCAATTAAAAACCACAGTAACAAGCCAAACCAGAAACAAAATTAAAGAAAATTAACTAATCAACCAAAAAACGTCAGAAGAAAATAAAATGTAGGAAATATTTTTTTCTGGTAATAAATTAACAATGGTTATCACAGACATCTTTCTTTTCTTAATTTTCTAAAAAATATAAGCACAATTTTTTTGTATTTTTCTCTTTCATATTAAGCAGCCTTCATGGCTGTTCCAGTTCACCATAAATGGAAGGGCCCACCCTGGGCTGTGATAACAAACGTGGAAGATTTCCCCATTTCAGTGGACAAAAGATTTCAAACGTTAGCAAAAGGCATAATTTGGTGCAAATTTAGTCCTTGGGAGCCATTTTAAAACACAAGAGTACTTCATTCTTTCATTGAAAAGTCATAAATCAAATAGGTATGAGTAAAAATTACACCCCTGTGTTTACAGAAAATTAAATTTAAGGTGTAGCTTTATTTCCTTTCCAGACTTAACTGTGCACCACCACCCTCTGAACTGGAGGTGGGATCTTTATCCAGAGGCAAACCTGAGCCCGTCATTTGGGCACCACAGCATAAACAGCCTCAGATCAGGGTTCAGGTGTCACATTTAGGGCTGTGAGCACGAGTCTGTGCCTGCTCAAACAGGCATGGACAGATCCCAAATTAGAATGGGTTTAATTGTTCTGCTGAGCTCTTTCACCCGCATTGAGGAAAAAGAGCCATTCCATTGTAGAAAGATCCTTTCCATATTTATGTACCCGTGTTAATCTCTGCAGCATCGTGCCAAACCATTATTGTTTAAAGAGCCTGTGCACAGCTGGGAGCAGCTGTTGACTTCCTGTGCGTTTTGTGATGATCTTGTCACTTCACCACTGAGCTCCCTGGGCAGCTCCATCCAGGTGCACTCAAACTGCAGTCACTGCACATCACATCCTTACCTTGGCACAGCCTCCTCCTCCTGCACCAGCACCAGAGCTCCAGCTAGCTAGAAAATTCACTCCACTGATTTTTTAATATTAACCAATACAAGCATTGAAGGTATTATTTATATCTCCTAGCGAGGGAGAGGAATGGAAGGAACACCCTGCATGACTGAATCCAGTCTCCTCCTGGTGCAGCCAGGCATGGGAGAGGGATTGTAAAACAAATTGATCAAGCTCCATCTCAAAAGCAGTCAGGATCTGTGTGTTGGCTCTGCTGCTTCAGGATGCTGGGATGCTGCTCCAGAGCAGCACAGCCTGAGGAACTTTGATTTCACTTCAGTTTATTCATGTTCTCATTGACCTTCATTTGTCTCGCTGCATTCAGGAGGATCATTGCATGCAGTGAGTCCCACAGAGCTGATTCTCCCTTAAAAACCTCAAGTTTTCGGCCTCTCTAATATCTGAGTGAAACTCTTTCCTCCTGTGTTGCAAGGTGTGATGTGGAAATGGCTGAGCAGAAAGATGTGTTTTAATTCCTCCCCCTTCCATTATTCACCACTACAAATACTGTCAGAGCTCCCTCTCAGGTTAATACACAGAGCCCCTAAAACCCATTGTTTTCAATTAGGTGAGAAAATCTTCACTTTTGGACTGAATTCAAAAGCCATGTGTTTGTAAAGGAAACAAACCTTTCAGTGCTGCTCCCCAGGATTTCTGTACCTGGCGTTATTTTCATTTACAGAAGTGTGGTGATCACAGGTAGGCTGATGCATCTCTGCTGACTGCAACCAAATTGATCTTGCTTAGGCCAGCATTTAATTTGGCTTTCTGCTGCAAAGGTCTAGGAGCAGAGTGCTAATAATGAACCCACTAAATCTGATCTTTATAGTTCTGTGGGGAGCTGGCTGACTGTTTATTGTGAGAAAGTCTTGTACTTAAAAGTTAAAGAGGCAGTGATAGCTTTTAGGCCTCCCATTTAAACAAAATCCACCTCTTGGCATTTATTTGTTTCATGTTATAACTTTATATGCTCTAGAAATGAAGGCTTATTAATGTATACCAGTTAGAGAGAGAAAGAGGTGACTTATCCAAGCACATGTTTTTTTCTCATTTTAAAAAAGAGTTGAATCTGAAAAGCTGTGTGGCTTTTTAGAAACCTCGTTGGGTTTTTTTGGAAAGTTGTGGAGCAGAATTGCTCAGTGCTGCCTGTGCCTGACGCTGCCTTTATTGGAGTGACTGTGAGCTTGTGTTTTCAGATCTCAGTAAAGATTATGGGGGCTGTTTTATCTTTATTCCTGAGTCATGGAGTGCCATTTCAGTCCCTGTGTTTGGGAATCATGCAGAAAACTGCAGATTGGGGGGGAGGCAAACTGGAGTTTTCTGTGTAAAACAATGCTTGGGGTTTTTTTTTTTGTTTGTTTGTTTGTGGGTTTTTTTGTTTGGGGGTTTTTTTTTGGGTTTTTTTTGGTTTTTTTTTTTTTCAAAATGAGGGAAGAGCAAAAAATCTGTAAAGGGCAAAAATCTGCTCAGGCTCCTATTGTGAAGAGCTGCTTGGGTCTATGAACATATTAAATGTCTTTCCAGATGGCCACTGCTTTGCTCTGCTGTTTGCATGTTTAGCTTTGATTGTCGTGCCCACAGCAGTGAAATGGGAGTGTGCAAAGGTCTGAGGCCGAGCGTTTCCTCATCAAAGGAACCAGCTGAATAATGCAGCTCACAAAAGCAAAACAGGAGAGGGATTCTTAAATGGCTGTGTGTCAGAAGGCTGGGGCTGTTTATTGTGATATTTGCAGATTATTTATTTCATTTGCTGTCCTGGCTGCTGTGGCAGTGTAAAACCTGCTCATAAACTGAAAGTCCAGTGACTTCCACTCAGTCTTGACCAGGACAGATGGCTCCAAATTATCTCTCTATTGCCTATTTCAGTCTCTGAATCAAACATAAATGTTGCTTTTTTAGCTTCTGTGAGATTAAATGAGAGAATTCAGATTTTTTTTTCTCAATAGGGACTTTATTTTTGTGCGTGGTTGTAACAGCAGTGCTGGGTCTCCTTATCATGTCCTTATCATCCTAAACATTGTTATTTTAACTTCATCATTACCACTGAATGGTAACATATACTAAGAAAAACTTGAACAGGTTATCAGTAATGTTCTTAAAGATATTTGATGAGATTTTGTCACTCAGTCAAGTAAAAAAAAAAAAAGCTAATAGGATTGAAGTTGTGTTTAATATACAAAACTACAAATCCAATAACTTGCCTTTAAAACTAAAAAACCCCACCAGCCATTCCCTTTACTGTTATAAAATTCTCAGAAGCTGGATTGAACTGACATTTTATGTACATGGTTCTGATTTACAGCTTTTCCACAGGTGGCAGAATTTCAAACCAAAAATGGTAGCAAATGGTCGCTCTCTCTACAGTCTTTATCCATATTGGTGATAAACATGTGATAAATTGGATTTTTTGTGCTAAACTGCTCTTTCCTCTGCCTGTTCTGGATGCATTCTGTGCAAAACTACAAATAATATATATATAAAAAATACCAAGTGCTGCCAAATAACAACTTCTGAATTTTGTGCTTGATTATGAGTGATTTCCTTCTTCCAAAATATAAAATCCCCTTCCCAAATGTCACACAGACTGTTTGGTCTTTTAGCTCCAAACCTGTCACATTTCTATTTTCTTCTACCTGATGAGATTCAGCCTGCCAGATTTTGCAAATATGTTTAAACAAACGAAAAAGAAACCAGATAGAAAAGACTGCCTATTGAAGAAAGCAGCTCAGGAGAATCCCACCTCTGATCTGACTGAAAGACCCACATGAGAGGCATTTTACATTAGTGCTGGGGAACTAAACTGCCTCAAAACCCAGAAGGCTGCAGCTCTATCGTGTGCACTGAAATTTGGGTGAAAAAATGACACTAAAAGTGCTTCCCCCATCCTAAAATGCTGTTTGGCAAACACTGCTGGTCACTGTAAAGCTGTTGAAATGCATAATTTCTTTTTTTTTTTTTTTTTTTTTTCTTTTCAGCACAGCTAGTTCACCAGTTTTGAGTTTCTGCTCGGTTTTTCTCTGGAGGAGAAGTGGGGGATGAATTTCCCTGTGCTGAATTTCCCTGTGATTCTCCCTAGACCTGGACCAGAGTGCTGCCTCTGGTTGTTCCAGGCTGCTCCTGGTCAGGCTGTTGCCCAAAATTTCATCTTTTTTATGCTCTCCCTGCTCCTCTGGGCTCTTCATCATCCTAATCCTGTCCTCTCCATGTTTTTCCTGCTCTTCATCCGCCCTTCCTCACTGCTCCCATCCCTGTGGAGATCAGGATCAGCGTCTCTCCCATGGGGGTTTTTAATGGTCCCTTTTCATGTGCAGGTGTTTGGGATGATGATTCTGCTCTTGCAGCGGCCCTGAATGGAGGCACGGTGCCTGCAGCAAGTTTTGCCTGGTTGCTGTGTGTGAGATGGATGGATTGCTCCTGAGCTTCAGAAAACAGGTGCCTTTGATTTTCTTTGGCATCAGGTCCTCCAGCTCGGAGCCAAAGTGCTGCAGACTCATCAGCGTGGGGAAAG